TCTAGGTGTTCTGCTCTGATCCTGTCGGGACCGGGAGCCGTACCATTCCTCATCGTCGTGATGGTATGCCGAATTTTGGAAGGGAGAATTGAAGGGACGGCGATCTTCCTATAACGCTTTTCTGCATAGCTTCACAAGCTCGGACGCTAGCTAGTTATTGCCTGCAGCACGAGCGATTCCACACTGGCGTATCAGCTCGATCGAGAGTCTTCGAAGAGAGTCGTCTCATGGCTACTTGTAGACTACCTGCTTTCCTAGCACTATTGTGAAGATGTTCGACGAGCCGATTGTATTCTTCATCGATTCGGTGACGGAATTTCCCAGGATCTCGCCAGTGAAACGAAATGATTCCAATAGACAACAGTCTTGAGGTTTCGTTTCCTGAACTTCCCAGCTCTCTCTCCACGCACAGAATCTGGCGCAGAGGAGACGATGGTCCGATCTCGTGTAGAGCTTCGGAACAACAGCGACGTCAGTTAGGCGAAACCTCTGATTGAAGATGATGTGGTCTTTTTTATTATGGAACTGTCTACCAGGTGACTCCCATGTCCATCACAAATGAGAGGGCTTCTGGAACTGCGAGCAACCATGGGTGGACATGATAAACTCGGATAGCCACTCACCCTGCTCATTCCATTACATTCCGTGAGTCACGATATGAAGCTCTTCAGCCGTTCTTCTGGGGTCAATCTTGCCGACGAAATTATCGGCGATGTCCTTGAAGATAGTACGATCATCTTTGTAGAGCCTCTTCGGATCCATATAGAAGGCCTCCAGCTCTTCTTCATCGTAGCTCGATGTCGGTGCGTAAACAATGAAGATTGTTAGAGCTGGGGTTGAGCCACATCTCAAACGCAAACGTCCGATTTGGGTTGTCAAGCTTTCGGACGAATCGATGTTCACGGTCAAGTGTGTATTGACGAGGACATCTACGCCGCCGACGCCTTTGCTGTTGCATGTTCCAAGGAACAGTTCTTCTCCAGACTCAATACAGCGTGCAGTATGCCTTCCCGTCTCGGTCAGTCCGATGACGTCTTACTTGACCTTCCTATGTTGCCTTCCTATGTCAGGTCTTCTATACACGTTTCGATGCAAGCGTCCGTGCGTTGAAAGTACAGATCGCCATCTACGTCCTTTTCCTTTTCGGCAGCCTGTTTTGGCCCTGAGTTTTTGGCAGCCTTTCCCGAGCGGTCTTACCCAACACTACCGTATTGCAGTCCTCCTCAGGTTCAAGGGAATGAGGTTCATTTTTATCACCTTTTTAGCGAATGGATACCCAACGAGCAGCTTACCAGGCTTTGACGTGGGGGCTGCATTGACTCCGGGGCTTGCCAGGCTATCCCGAGCCTTGGCCCAGGGGCTTTGTTTCGGAAGCGGCCCCGAATCGCCTCCCAGATACTTTTCAGTCACTCGAAGGCAAGCTTTTTGTTTGTTGAACCGACGGGCAGGATACCAACTGCACCCGCAGACCCCTGAATCCATCTGCGTCTCTGAGCAAGTAGTGGCGGCTTCTGATCGGCGAGTTACTCTCCTATACGACACCTGGGGACGCCCTATGTAGCCTCGTTACTATCTATCTGGGTTCCTTCTGTGAGGGAGAACCTTCAATGGAGTGGATCCGTTGAGGACCATACATATTGTTACCAGCGGTAGAAGTGAATTTGATAAATTATTTGTTTCTTATAAGTTTCTGAATTTTTTTTGCTCATGATTTTGGAACACCCTGTACAAGTCAGTGCTCTCTTAGACGAGTCTGGCGTTATTTAGCGTAGCCCGGTTGAATGTAAGGCCTGTTGGTTTAGGCGTATTCAAGATTGGATTCGAACCCGTGACCATGCATCTGTGGTAGTGCTCGACTTACACTCTACTCGACTACATCACCTCCCCTCGTACTCTACATAATATGAAAAACCTACTATGTATAACGCACTATTTATGTGATTGTGTGTGTCTGCGTGTAAGAGGGAGAGTGTGTGTGTCTGTGACCGTGTGTGCGTCCGACCGCGAATTCACAACTTCCATTCCCGTGACTTTAGTGAGTGTTCAAACTTGGTAGGAGCACAGGGGACAGGATCGAAAGACTCATGGGAATTGGCAGGACTGGACTCCACCCAAAGGGGGCGGGGTTTGCGCGGAAAAACATAACTCTTGTCCCGGTGTACCTGGAGCGATCAAATGTGGTAGGAATATAGACGGCAGTATGGGAACATTCAGACTAGGAGACTCGGCCCGTAAGGGGCGGAGTTTCTGCGATACAATTGTTTGAGCGAAAATTCAAAACTCCTGTTCCTTTGGACCTAGAACGTTCAAACTTAGCAGGCGTTCATGCGGAAAGATGGGAATTTTGATGATAGGTGACAGGACTAGGCTCTGTCAACAAGGAGCAGTTTGTGTGAAAAAATTGTTAATTCGAAATAGAGCGTTTACATTTGATAGGAGTTAAGACGGCAATATGAGAACACTTGCGGGAAATGACAGGACCAAAATCTGCGCACAGGGGGCGGGGCGTGTGCGAAATTATTGATCTATACCTGGTGCGTCCAAACTTAGTAGAAGTGCGGGCTGCACTATGGGGACACTGATGACAGGCGGTAGAAAATGACTGGGCTGGACTCCACCCGGGGTGGTGGGATGATTGTAGAGGAGAGCGGAACTTCTGAGATATGAGCCCGATTTGAAAAAAACGAACCGAGTTGCTATACACACGGACTTGAGCAGTAAACTGCTTATAGCGGGCAAGGTGCACACGAAGTGTGTCGGAGTGTGTGCGTATGTGTTTGGGAATTATTCGCTCTTCTTCTTGACCAGAGCGTCTAAATACGAAAGGGATTAGGGCGGGGGTGAAATTAGCTACGAAAATAAAGAGCTCGAACTGTCTTTGTGTTCATGTGCTCGTATGTATCCGTGTCCTTGCCCGACCGGAAATTCGTAGCCTTTTGGTTATAGGACCGAGGGCGTTCAAATTTTGTAGGAGCGCAAGCAGCAGGATGGGATCACTGACGGCAGGTGGTAGGACTAGACTCAGCCCAAAGGCGGCGGAGCGTGAACAAAAATTGTTGATTTGGACCAAGAGCGTTGGAACTTTGTAGAAATCGCGCTGGAAAACGGAAACGGGATAGGTGGTAGAAAGCAAATGAGGTGAATTCCACCTTTGTGGGAAATGGTGAGCGCAATAAGAGTAGATATACGAAATCAAGTTGGATTTAATGGATAATGAACCGTTTACCTATGCACACAGGTCTTGAGCAGGACTTCGCTCATGGCTGGCTGGGCGCACACGAAGGGTGCAGAAGTGTTCGTATCTGCATGGTCGCAGATCGATAGCTACTAATCTATTTTACCAGAGTGTCTAAATGTGACAGAATACAGGCGGCGGGCCAATTCCAACACGAAAAGGAGGAGAGCCAGACGTCGGCCGGGAGATCCGATTGGTAAGCAAAACTCGGGATGCCAAATTCTAGCCAAATACTATGCGGGGAGCAATGTCTTCAGGAAGGCCGCTGGAAAGGAGAAAAGGTCAGAGAAATTGGGGAGGGTGTCAACCCTATCACAACGGAGAAAACACCAAATGAAGCGGTGTGGCCATAGCAAAGACTCTGTCTCCGCCGACAACAGGATCAGCACTCGAATTATGGCTGTGAGGACAGACACGAAGAAGGGATACTCGAGTATAATATCCATGTACGCACCACAAGCCGGCTATCCCTGCCCACAATAGCGGGTGATCTTGATGGCCACGTTGGGAGTGAACGAATTAGCTTCGAGATAATCCACGGGGCAAAAACGAAGAAGGTGAAGGAATCCTCGGTTTGGTCACAGCTCACAACTTGGCAGTATGCAGCACCTCCTTCGCGAAAAGGAAAACTCAGAAGGTAACCTACAGCATTGGAGGGAAAGAAATAGATTACTCACTCGTAAGAAAGCCTTCCCTCAAAATTGTGAAGGACATAAAGGTAGTGCCTGGGATAAATCTGGCTCCACAGCACCGAACCTCTCCTAGCTATCTATCTCCCTAGGGGAACGAGGAGAGGAACGGAACGGAGGATTCGGCGGTGGAAGCTCCACCAAGTTAGAAGTAAACTCCTTGAGGAGAAGATAATGGAAGCTGGACCTCCGATCCCGAGCAGCCTATCCAGCTTACCTGGAGCAGCGCCGTGCAGGTCATCCTACGATGTGCAGGGGAAACGCTGAGGGGAAGTTTGAGGTGGATTCGAGGAAGACAAGGAAGCATGAATCTGGATTGATGAAGTCTAGCGAGTCGTGAGACCAAAGAAACTGGCCTACAAGCGCTGGCAAAGGACGCGACCTCCACAAGACCTAGCTGCTTACGGAACTTCCGAGAAGCTCGCCAAGGCTGCTGTAGCGAAGGCAAGGAACACAGAGATGGACGCCTCGTATGGAAAATTTGATAGTCGAGAAGGAGAGAAGTTCGTCCTCCGGCTGGCAAAAGCGCGGCACCGAGTTACTCAGGACATCCCGTGGTGAAATCAGTTAGAAGCAAAGAGGATGCAATCCTGAAAAAGCCTCGTGAGTTCAGGCGTAAATGGAAGGAAGGCGTAGATGGAAGGAATACTTGGGCAGGTTCCGTAACGAAGAATTCATCCGTAAAAGCAGCTCCCACCAGGAGGCAACGGCTGAACCATCAAACTCTGGACAGAGAATGAGGCGGGTAGAGCGATAGGAAAGATGAAGGTTGGGAAAGCAACCGGTTCGGATGGAGTACCGATCGAGACATGGAAGACGCTTGGGGAACATGGGATAAAGTGGCCCACGCTATTCCTAAACACCATGACCGCTGATGGAAGAATCCCAGATGCGGGGAAGAGCAGTACCATTGTTCCCATTTTCAAGCAGAAAAGAGACGCGTTGGAGTGTTACGTTGCGAGCAAGCTGCGAGTTTCGAGCGGAATGGCATAACGGCACAGTTTCGTTCCGAAAAGTGCTTTCTTTCGAAACTGTGCCGTTATCCTTTCCGAAAAGGGAACTTGCAAGGTGACGGAATGCAAGAAAAGCTGGTAGTTGGAGGTGCTGTTGCGAAAAATGTTCTGAAAAGAGCCAAGGCTTTGTGAGCAAAGTCAGGAAATGTATTGGCGAGCAATCATGCGCTTGGTCTCTAGGGTGTGATACATTTCAAGCTGAAGGGAAGTGTAATACCAGTATAAGCGACAGGCAAGTTCATACACAACGACCAAGTTCTTTGGAGTCCACTGCATTCTTTCTTGAGTAGAACACTAGTTCAACTACCTCACTCCAAGAAATCTCGCAAAATTCTTCTATTTATTTTCCTTCAACTTGACGGTTTAGTAATTTCACATTCACTGCAACGTATCGCAAGCCAATGCCATGGCGTTGTATGGGTTTTCTCAATCCCTTTCCTCTCGTATATGACAAGCCCATAATTGGCTTTGAATCCTTGAGGAGGGCATTGCTTCCAAGATGACAGGTAGTTCAATTTTAGTATAACATCTGATCCTAAATTTCGAACAGAAAACATAAGTGGATGCTCGCCTACCTAAGAGATGTTTATAAAATGCAAAGTATTCCTTGAATTCCTTGTGTGGTAAATAAATCACTTCTTCTACATTGATTTCTCGAGCTAAAGGCAACGATGAGTGTTCCACAATCTCCTGTACGGACTTTTTTATTTACTCAAAATGTTTCATTGCAGTTTTCCATATACAAGCTCTTTCTGTAATGTGTTTCCGCAACATAATGTGGAGGTAGGCTTCTGAGGGAGTTAGACTTTTCACCCCAAAACTATGTAAGAAACTTGAAAACGTGAAAAAAATTGAGAACCCGTCTTTCTCCCACAACCGTTACCATGGTCACGAGCCATATTCTTTCACTTTAAAAGCTTAAATGTGATACAGTTATAACAGTAACACGCTCAGCGATATCACAAATAAACATTCTACTATAAAATTTCTTTTTCAGAGATCGCATAATGCGGGATCGCTCTAAATGGACCAACGACACGCTGTACATGAGCGAAATAGTCGACTCGTTGGAGCCAACCCATCCGCTCCATTTGCTGTACAATAGAACAGTAATTCGCTATGATTACGGATCAACGTACCACAATTACTGTGAGGTTTGTTGGTTTCGGGTCTGATTCTGAGCGTAGAAACAAAAAACACGATCCCTAATCATCGAGCAATGCCTACATATTTTTCGTTAATTATTTATTCACTTTGGGAGGGGAAGAGGGGGTCATTCCTTTGAAGAGCTTCGACTGAGCGTTCGCCCGGCATCAATGGAATAAAGAAGTTATACAAGCACGGTGGACCCCACTGCCACTCGTCTAATAGGATAGAAATCCTTTCCTAATGTTGATCAGTAGGATAGGTCCTTATGGCTATCGTTCACCTCGTTGCATAGTGCAAAAGGCAGGTGACAAGGAGCTTATCCACCTTTGACCACTTCCCTTCCTTGAATCCTAGAAAATCATGAGGTGAGGTATTCCTCCTGCTCAAACACGAGATCGGCATATTGTGAATGATAAAGTCGCGGTAATCCTTGAAAATCATGCTTATCCTTTCCGAAGCCATATGCACGTTGTATATTTCAAATTCTGGTGTTGTCTCGTGCTATGCCTCTTTGATATGCCATATTGAAGCAACGCAATCAAAAATTCGTTAAAGCACAAGGACCCGGTTTCAAGTCAAATCCGAATGGCATGAAATCGTTGGTTCCAAAAAGTCCGCAGTTCTCATTCAATCTCTTCATATAATGAGGCCTCCAATTTGAGTACTGATGTGATTTGATTTTCCGAATTGGGAAGCTCGATTCAGACTTTGTTTTCTCTCTCCATATGTTGGTGATATAGAGGATAGGTGATGAAGCATGGCCGCCCGCTATCTCTTCGCAATGAACTTCAACATTCCTAGGGAATGTATTAAGTGTCACGCTCCCTGTTGACTTTGTGGATCTGCGCTCAGAATAAAGTGCGTACAATGTAGTGCGGATGTTGGGGAAGAGTGAAAAGCCTCAGATCCACACTACACCGGAATATTGATAACACCTGAGTTTTGGGGACCACCCGCTAAGAATTCGCTAATCGACGTCTTTACCAGTGTCCACTACATACTTCTGTCCGATAAGCTCCCTCAATTTGGCAGAAGATCTAGATCTGATACTGAACTTAATGTTCGGCCAATCAAGAAGAGACGGTACGGTAGAGACTCATAAAAAATCGAATATCGCAGGAAATTTTATGCCTTCCATAGCTTTGAACTTGAAGGTGATGAAAAGTACATGTATTTCCCAATATATTTTAAAATTATTTTCTCTAGTGAGTTTTGAAGATAATTGATGAGGATAAATGGAATCAAATTTTTTGCAATCAATCTGTTTCATAAAGTACGTTTAGATTTTCAGCTAAGAAGGAGGCCCGAGAATTCGCTCCCATCATTGCTCCGAGTAATGGAGATGAAAGTCATCACGCAAACGTTTCTCCGTGCTATAGTTCTCACCGGCTTGCTCTTTAAGGTATTGCTTTGTTCTACCTTGGTTTTTCTTCACCTCGCCGTTCTGCGCAACTCCAAGCGGCAATAACTTTGCTGCACTTTCTTATCAGGAAAACCTGCTGAAGACGATGCTAGTTAAAAGGAATTAGGGCCAACATTACGTGACATCCAAGCTCACAATCGGCAGATTTTTTATTTTCAGCTAATTTTCCTAGTGCTGGTTGATCACTATAGCGCTTAAGGAATAGGATCGAGAAATGCATGTAAGCGTAAAGGACCCAACATTGTAGGCAGCTCAAACCGGTTTTCGATGCACCTCCCAACCTGTTGCACACCTTCTGAACGTGCAAAAAATCACTCTGCCTGCAATGGCAACGGTAGCATTACTCCCATTTTGATTTTGATTGGCACGAAGCTCGGCAAGCTCGATCCAAAAGCATCATGAGTCATGCACCGACGGATCCCAATGCACCGAATCGCTTGTTCGGATGTGATGCACCTCAGAGGCACGCTAATGAAATTGTGCTGAGGCTCTCCACATTACCACCGTTTCGCAGTGTTCCTTGTACCCATCGTCCTCAACTTGAAGGAACATAAGGACTGTTAAGGAAATGGCAAGCATCAGGCTTGGCAGTCGTGTTATACGATTACACCATATGTGGATTTAGGTGTGTGGATGTCAATGCGGATTCAAACAACCATCGGTGCCATGTTTAGAACCTCCTGCGGCGTCGACGTCTTTGTCAGGATACGATAGGAGAGACAAGAAGTCTTCCAACCCAGAACATGTGTCCTAGAAGTGGCATATGTAGATGGATGATCGAAACTGTTCAGAAGATCGATTGAGCTGAGTAGACTGGTGTGCTAGAAACCAGCAAGCAGAAATCATGAAACTGCTCCTTTTAAAGGTCCTGTTCACAGTATATTAGCCATCTGAGCATCTGGAGGAGTATCCTTCAAGAGATGACTCGACTCACTTAATGCCTATTTTGTTCAATTCTCGAAAAAATATGGCCTAAAGTGAATCCAATATGCGGATACATTTGAAGGCACGGTTCACAATAAAGAGGTTTCTGAGTTCTCCCTTCAGGAATACCCATTGGCCCCCAAGGGTAACAGGAAGGACCCTCTCGCGAACAAAAACTCAACAGTTAGGGCGTAGTGGAGCCACGTTACCGGATCGCACGGACTTTCCGCCCCTCGTCCGGCGTCACGTCAGACGTGTGTCGAGGCGATACAGATTGCAATATTCGCTCTAGGACCCACACACAACCAGCTGATCGCCGAATAATGAAGCGTTGTTTTGTCCTATTTTTCCTATTCTCTGTTATTCTTTTTGCTGCTGCGATCCCTTACTTGATTTTCTGCCCCAAGACGCTGAAAAAGTGGGCTAATTTTGCTGTTACTAGCTTTTTGTTGACTTGTGCTCATGAGTGAATGAATTTTGAGGTACATTTTTCGCTTACTGTAGGCAGCTATTCGCATCAGGACCCACACGTACGCAACGACACACATTGTATAGCTCGTCCATTGTATAGTTCGTCAAAGACCCATTCTTCTTGATTTTTCTGGTCTCATTCTCGTCCAGCCCCTTTTTTAACGATTTTTTCTAAGCCTTTTATCACTTTGAAGGCGCCGAATTACGCACTTTCTTCGCCTTCATCGCATTATTTTCCACCTTGTCTTCCATTTTTCGTCACAATCTGGATTACCCAAAATTGTAGCGAACTGTTTCTTCAAATAGATAGGGTTGACTCGTGGATATGTCACAGGGCACTCACATTTGCATGCGCTTGTTAATTCAAACAACGCTTTATACTTTTCTTAGTCTTTGAAGATTTCGTGTCACTTCTTCTGTTCTTTTTTTTAGTTTCTGCTGTGCATGGTTCAAGCTAGGGTCATCGACATGCTCCCTACTCGGGGAGCTGTTATATGGTTTCTCTCTCGTGTCTCACCCTTTCTCCAGATCGCCTCGTCTTCTGTGTTGATGTTTGTTCTATGTCTGCAACAGGACCAGGACGGAGAACGTGAGTTTGTCAAATTTAAAAGCCAGAAAACAAACATCTCCTTTATTTCCCACTTCAATTCACTTTGTGTAAATCAAAGTTCAAAGTAATTCTTTTGTGGCAGCCGTCTCCATAACAGAACAAGGAAAAAGTGTTTGCGATTTCCTTGTTAATTAGTTTCCACGTTAATTGAATAAGTACTATACAATACCGCTAATGAGACAACGATGAGATCCATTAGTCCACATTTCTCATTCAGAATTGGATCAGATCAATCGGCCAAAGGTTTTTTGAATCTTTTCCGCAAAAAGCAAGATATAGGAGAATAAGCTGTGATATTGTTTATTGGCATCGGAAGAAAGGTTAGCCTTCATAGCCAGGAAAAAACAAGCTGTTCATGCCTTCCACGCAAAAATCTCGACAGCTTTTCAGCGTAAAGCTGTTGTATTTACCGTTTTGGTGTAACAGTCCAAAGTAAGTAGATCCTCTTTTTAGTCTTTTACCATGAAAGAAATTTCAGTGAAGTGGATCATGCGTTTCCATGTTCCTCTCTTTTGCGTGCTATTTTTGGCTCACGCAAGTTTGTATTCCTTCCTAGAAATCGCTAGACGGAGAACATGTGTGAGTTTTATTTTCATAATTAATTAACAACTTCCTCAATTACTAGCTGCCTTTGGAGCGATATCTATATTTTCTGAATAGCGTCTTTTTTGCAAAAGTAGGGCCACTGCAAACCACTGATGGGACAAAAGAAGAGGGAGAGCTCTGGATAGCTCGAATGTTATGAACATAGTTTCTTTATGCAGTGCATTTTATTTTCTCCCATGATTGACATGAGAAGGCCACTTACGGTTCAAGCTGCTGTTTTTAAACATTCTGCCCTTTCATCTGACTACCAAAGATGGGAGTGCATAGGGCTAGAGGGACCCCCTCTTGTCATCACTAGCGATATCTCTGATACATCTGTGAAGTCGAAGCTCAGTAGTCGTCTGTTGCAGAACTTGCAAAGGCCCCCATTAAAAACGCCAGCCAGCTTTCATGTTTCGGCAATATAATGGAATACATAAAAGGTAGTTAGTTGCCAAGCAAAGTCGTTTGTTCTGGATTGTACTTCCTTCCTATAAGACTATCATTTGGACGTGATGTAGTGGCAAATGGCGCATTACTCATCAGCATGCATCCGCACCAAACCTTTCATCACTCCAGGGTGGGGTAATTCTTACCAGCCTGTCTTGGTGGACAAAAGCACTGACTTGTTCATTGACTAGCCGCTGCATTTCATTGTATGATCACATTCGCTTTCAAACTCCGATTCCGAATGACAATCGAATGCTGGCGCATCTTAAAAACGTGTTTGAGAAGCACCGCAAACCTCTATCTTCGACGTAAAATCCCTGGTCCCGTGCGCTATAGGTGGAATCTGGTGCAAAGTGAACAAAGACTTTGGCGAACGCAGTGAAAATATTTCTGGTTATCCACAGGAGAGGTTGGAATCTGCTCTACCTAGGTTGCGAATGTCCCTTGTAAGGTTCCTGAGAGAAGAATTGGGTGATAGCTTTCCTGGTGTAGAACCTTTACTTCTATCATATGTTCATGCCTAGTAAAAATTTGTTCCGCATAGCATGTGCCTTTCTATGCCTTTCCATGGTAGCTTTCCGATCCGTATGACATGGGAGACTTTAACTGCTCTTATCTTTCGAAAGTATTGCATAAACTCTTCATTTAAGGCAACCATTACCCTCTTCATTTTGCGAATTATTGGACTTGGAGTGTTTGCTATTTCCGCTGCTGCGGTCTACGAAACGTACCTTGCGTACCTCACACTCAAACCCTGCCACACCAACGGTAAGCTATACTGGATTACCTATCGCTCTTGGATAGAAGTAGCTGCTATAGCTGCAAGGCGCTCCTGTGATCCATGGCAAACACAAACCAAAAAGGTCTCAGAAGAAATTTTTTTTTTCTTCAAATAAGACAGAATTTTTAACTGTTTTCTGAATGTCACTATGTTACTTCGATAGCCGAGCTTGGCAAGTTTTAGCTAGTAGTCCCAGTTAAAATCCCAACTTTTCAGAAAACGAGCAAAAGAAAGAAAAGAGAACCAAAAAATAACGAAAAAAAACTAAGTGAAAGTCAACACTACTAATTCTTCTTTACGGTCTGATTTAATCATTTCTTTGCCGTACGAGAAGTTATACATTTAATATCAAATAGTCGAGCTCTACGCCTAAGCGTTACATACAAACAGTAGCGTTCAAAAGTATTCATCCAACTTAAACTTGCCGTAACTTTTTTCTCAGTGGAGCAAATCGCATGAAATTTTGATATGTTTAACTGAAGCGTATTTCACACTATTGAACCCTCTTTGACTGCAAAGCAGCATCGTCTACATAAGTAAGATGAAGGCGTTTGTAGACTATGCTGAAAGCAAGTTTGTGACGTGAGCAGTTACTCGCACCTTATTTGCGTTTTTCTCCTCTTCTGTGTTCCGCATTAGCGCTCGTACACTTTGGATATTTCAAAGAGGAAAGAAATCTTAGAAGCACCAATGTTCCTATTTTCAGTTGGTTTTGATTTCAACTTTTTTGGGATATTTGAAAAATGATCAAAGCAGGTTAATAGTGGTAAATATTCACACTACACCAATGCTACACATATTGAAATTTCGCTCGATTAGATCCTGTAGGAAAGGAGTTATGACTGAAAAGTGCGAGCGAAGAAGTATTCGGCCGAATACTTTTGAGCGCTACTGTACATATGTGGATAAGCTACTGCCTCTGTGGATACGTTGTTAGCATTAACGCCAACTATGATCATAACCAACAAGAAATCACCTTCAATGAAAGCGTTCAGTGAATTGGAGATTAAGCCCAACTTGTTACTATACACGTTTTCTCTTGCCGTGTGCAAATATAACAAAAGTGTCAGTAACAGATCTGGAAAGACTTTAAACCTTTTTGGATCAGTCTCGAATTTGGGCGATGATTCAGCGGATCGCGCACAGGGCGGAGGTGGTGTAGTGGCAAGTGGGGCACTATCACTTACACTAAACTTTTTATTTCTCCAAAGTCGGTTGATTGGTATCATCATATTTGTCTGAAAGGATAAAATCAATGACTTGTATATAGGCTGGCTACTGTAAGTCATTTTATAGGCCACATACTCGTGCACTTGCATGTCCTACAGACGGATTGATCAACGCTCAAAGACTTTATCGCTCATAGTTCATGGGCTTTTGGCTGTTCAAAACGTTACACTCTTTTAGATAATTTGAAGAAATGCAGGGTCGTCGAAAAGTTGGAGTTTGGGAGAGACTGCCCTCTGTGTAACATGGTAGATTTGATACAACTTGCAGCTCTTACACAAATAATCTATTTGCAGTGTCAATTTCGGCGGCTATCAGCGAGTACTTGTGCATATCAGTGGTTGTTCTCTTTGCCCTCTCGCAAATATGCGACTACAGAGGATTGGTGATGAATCTGGTCGCAATGCGATGCGATACGTTACCTCGCGAGGACCTTCCGGATTACTCGCCAGCATTTATGACCTCAAAATTCAACTCAGCTCCTTTTGCTCAACTACGACGTCGGAATTTTCATTGCAATGATCTCAAAAGCTCTTCTTCTTCTTAAAATCGTTCCGATTCTCGTGTTGCTGTATTTGCATAAAGAATAGATGAATTATTGCTGCTCCAGTGATGTTGTTACAATAAATATAACAATAATAATCATAAATAAATGCAGTGGTATGGAAAACACAAATGAATGGGAAAGGTTTGCTAGAGGGGAACTGGCACACTCAAACTATTAGTCTAATGTCGTGATAGAAGCGCTCTACATATTTAATAGAACTGTCTTAAACACTGTGCGGTCTTATGTGAGGATCACCCACAACTGATTCCCGACTTTCAGGCTCTAAAGAAGGCGCAGAGGTCGTAACCACGGCTCAGTAAAGTTGTAAAATCTTGGTAAGGCTATAATCGGCCAAGTTAAAAGTTTAGCTCTACATTGTTAGAATTCTTCTGGCGTACGAGATTCTTAGGTGGAACACTTTATTAACTTAACGGCCTAACGTTTCGACGTAATCGTCGTCTTCAGAGGCCAGGCTCCACCGTCAAAACGGAAAGAATCTGCTGTCGCCACAGGCGACTGTCAGCAGACACACGTTCGCTATTAAAACAAGAGAAAAGTTGGTGATTTAGCTCTACATTTTGTTGTAGAAGTATATTACAGAAAGTTTGTATAGGGGAGAGCTGCATGAAAAACCTAAAGAAAAGAAAAAAGACCGTGCTTAAATTAGCTAATTCGCTCGAATCATTATTGATTCTCATAGCAAGAGCCTTTTTGAACTGCCTCAGGGCATCGATCATCATTAGCGTGGACCAAATATTAGGTCGTGAAGAAAGTTCTTGCGGTTTTTGACGCCCAATTTTCAAATGCTCGCCGCGATGTTATTTGCTATTAGATTTCTTGCATGTTTTACACCATTCTGGAGCGAA